CCACATGTTGAAACCGAACCGCCCTCAAACCGCGAAACTATTGCAACTTGTTTAAAACAAATGTGCGAGGCGCCAAGGCCGGAGCCACATTTTGAAAACCACCCCCCCTCCATCTCTTAAACGATTGTCAATGCTTAAGCATCAGGATCATCAGTGGTGAGGATGTCTCAGGCGAAACTCCCGGCTCGCCCTTCCGACTGGCCTCAGGGTGCGACAGGGAGGAATTATCGACAGGGAAAACAATGGTGGAGGTGGGGGAAGAAGAAGAAGAAGAAGAGAAGAAGAAGAAGAAGAACAGCAGCAATAACAAGAAGAAGAAGAGCAGCAGCAGCATAAGCAGCAACAGGAACAGGAGAAGGAGGCTTGGGAGGCTTGAGAGGCAGGAGCAAAGAGGTCGAGGAGGCAGGAGGCCTGTGGCGTACAGCAGCAGGTGGAGGCGCGCGAACAGTTCCCCCACGCACTGGCGGCCAGTGGTGCAGTTCACACCTTAAGGGGGGCGGGGAGGAGAAGAGAGGAGCCGCACAGGAGGACGACCACGAGCAAGAGGGCGGGAGGAGGGCGAGGAGGAAAAAGAAGAGCGGGGGGAGCAGGGGGACCAGGAGGAAGAGAGGAGGAGGAGGAGGCGGAGGAGGAGGTGGAGGAGGAGGAGGAGAGCGAGGAGGAGAGCGAGGAGGATATGGAGAGAAGGTGGGAAGGGAGGAGAATATGGGCAAGAAGCGCCACTGGCCCGAGACGATTTCTTCGCCTCTGGGCCGTTCTTCTGTAATCCTTGGGCGCCCCTTTTCGAAGCCACCTGAGGCCGGCAGGCCCCGAAATCCGCCACTATGGGAAAAAAGAAACGCGCCGTCGTGGAAAGATTATTAAGTTTTTGTTTCCTGATGAACGAAGATGGTCGCAAATAAACAAAATTTACAACGTCCACGAGGCTCCCGAGAGGCCTCCCGCGACATCCCAACGAACATCCTCTAGGCTCGTGGCCCACAACCCAGGTACGGAGACGGGATGAGCCGAAGGCCGTTAGATCACTCAATCTCTTTGGGGGCCTTCCAGTAGCCCAGGCCGTTGGCTCTTGGCCGAACCCGGGCCACTGGAACCTTGAACGACCGCGCCGGGATCGCCGCAGCGTCTGCGCGTCGCGAACCCACCCTAGGCAGATAGAGCCCTCTGGACCCAGTCAGAGAAGCCCTCTGGACGACTGGAGGAGGAAAAAACTGCACAAACATGATTTCTGGATCGGCGCTGGGCCGCATCCCACTCCCTGGCGCGGGGAGCGCGCCGGCGCCAATCCAAGAACTCCGCGCGGAGCTCCAAGCGACTATGTTTGCGCCGCTTTTGTACTCGAGCCGAGCCCCGCCCCCGCCGCGCCAGCCGCCGTACAATGCTTGTCCACAGCCCGGGGTGTGCACACCTTCGCGCAGCTCGGCGGGGATCGCGCCCGCGGGCCCCTCGGCCGCGGTGGCGGACAGCTGCCTCAGCTCGGCGGCGGCCAGCTCCCAAGCCTCGACAACGACGACGACAATGACGAGAGCAACGACGACGGCGACGACAGCGACGACGACGACGACGACTGCAACGACGACGACGACAACGACGAAGACGAAAACAACAACGACGACAACGACGACGACGAGGACGACGACGAGGACGACGACACCGACGAGAAAGGCGGCGGCGGCGGCAGCGGCGACCACGACCACGACCACGACCACGACCACGACGACGACGACGACGACGACGACGACGACGACGACGAGAACGACGACGAGGACGACGACGACGACGACGACGACGACGACGACGACGACGACGACGACGACTGCAACAACGACGGACGACGACGGGCGACGACGATGACGGTGACGGCGACGACGACGACGACGACGACGACGACGACGACGACGACGACGACGACAACGGCGACGACGACGACGACGACGACGACGACGACGACGACGGCGACGGCGACGACGACGACAACGACGTCGACGGCGACGACACCGATGACAAAGGCGGCGGCGGCGGCGGCAGCGGCGACCACCACCACGACCACGACCACGACGACGACGACAAGGACGACGACGACGATGACGACGACGACGACGACGACGACGACGACGACGACGACGACGACAACGACGACTGCAACGACGACTGCAACGACGACGGGCGACGACGATGACGGTGACGACGACGACGACGACAACGACCACGACGGTGACGACGACGACAACGATGGCGACAGTGGCGGCGGCAGCGGCGACGAAGACGACGATCGCGGCGGGGGCGGCGGCAAGGACGGTGGCGACAAACACAACAACGACGACGAGGACGACGACGACAGCGGCGAGGACGACGACGACAACGACGACGACGACGACGACGACGACGACGACGACGACGACGACGACAACGAGCGAATTCGCACGGCGGCGCGGCGCAGCGGCGACGGCGGCGGCGGCGAGACAAGGACGCGGGCGACAAACACAACGACACGACGACG